ACGAGACATGGGGCTATTCTTACAACCCCAACAGCAAATATCAATCAATCCAATGAAGAACGCCATTGTCACCTCGCCCCCCAAAAGCTCATCAAGTGAAATCAAAGATCAAGACAATGCCCATTTGTTTTTTGATGAATGCCACCTCCCGCAGGGAGGCCTTCCTGACTCTTCTAGCGACAGTGATCCCTCCCCTGAGGTACTGATGGGTCTACCTTGTCCAGTGCTCTTGTCCTCTGTGCCCATGACGTCTGAATTGCCATCCCTGTCTCCTGTCCCACCCACTGCCAGACCAGGGACTCTTGAGGTCAGGCAATTCCTGCTTTCTCTCTGTGGGCACAGGGCATGAAACAAGTCAATGTGCTGGATGGAAGAGGGTAGGCCAGGTGTCACTGTGGTAACCTGGGTCCCCTCACCTTCAAGGCCACGCTTCTCCTGGTCCCAGCAGGCCTAACTTCAGTGACGCCTCTGTGGTCCAAGGACTGTTGGACCCTGGTCTGGGATAATCCCTCTCCTGGAGGATGACCATGGGGCACCCCACTCCCCGGCTGCACAATCCCATTTTATGAGCCTTCAGGATTTAGGTCTGAGACCCATCCTGCGGACATGGGGTGACCCTACGTTGTGAACATGGCCTGTTGCTTCAGTCCATCCTCCATTCGGCCCGGCCAGCTCTGGGGGCGTTGGTCTGGTCCTGGGACATGCAGTCAAGCAGCAGAGCAGGCACAGAAGGAGGGCCGTGGGAGCCCAGAGAAGGGGCGGTCGCCCAGGCTGGGGGTCAGCGAAGACTTCCTGGAGGAGGGGGTCTGTGTGCTGTGCCCGGGTGAAGGCAGGCACTCCTGCTGTGGGGGTTACAGCCTGGGTGGGAGGGCCTCTGTGCTCAGCTCTGTGCTGGAGGCTGCCTTCCTGGGGAAGAGGCAGGAACACGCTACTCAGAGGGATTACCACTCTTGCTTACATAATCCCCTTTATCTAAGAGACTAAAAGGACTTTGGGGGAAAAATCCACTTGGCAGTGAGGCAAAACACAAGCATTTCCTTAATTAATCTTTCTTAGGGGCTCATACAACTGTTATCGCAATTCATACACACATCAATTGTGTAAAGCACATTTGTACATCATT